CTACTCGGAAAGGGCCTGACCATCTTGATTTGAGTTTACCAGGAAACAACTTGAGCCTTGAATTGTAGAGTAACACTTGGTCCCCCGGTTCAAAGTTCCTTCTCAAAATTCTCTTATCATGAAAGTACTTGGTCATTTCCTTGTAGATCCTTGCATTTTCATAGGCATCCATCCAGAACGCTTCAAGCTCATTCAATTGTAACAACCTATTTTCTCTTGTCGAGTCCTCATCCAAATTTAACCTTGAAACTGCCCAATATGCCTTGTGTTCATACTCAACCGGAAAATGACATGACTTCCCAAACACAAGTTTAAACGGAGAAACACCAATAGGGGTCTTTAATGCGATCCTTAGGGCCCATAGTGCATCATCTAGTTTCAAAGACCAATCCTTTCTTGTTGGACTCACCACCTCTTCAAGAATAGATTTGATTTCCTATTGGCCAACTCTACTTGCCCACAAGTTTGTGAATGGTAGGGCGTAGAGAGCCGGTGATGAATACCATACTTGAGAAGAAGTTTCTCCGAAAGCTTGTTGCAAAAATGTGTGCCATTGTCGGTTATGAAGGCTCTTGGCATGCCAAACCAGGAGAATATATTCTGCTTGACAAAGTTGAGCACAGTCTTTGAGTCATTCTTCGAAGTTGCAATTGCTTCTACACACTTTAACACATAATCCACCGCTAAGGACGGCCATCCCTGAGGCAGTACGATTTATTCTTGGTTTATTGGAAAGGGCGTACGGGGGAAGCGTACGGGCGTACGCCACCTGCTTCTTTTTTGAGATCTTGGATGGGCTGATGGATGGGCGTACGGGAGGCAGTACGATGCTCTTGAAAATTCCTAAATGCATTCCAAACTTTTTGGTTGATCTCTTAGTCCAAAAATTTCTCGTATCTTCCCACAAATCATTAAATTCCTCACTTGTGAAGAAGAGATTAAAAAGAATTTAATTGGCAAAAGGTTTAAGAAACACAATTGGTTAAGATGGTTCAAGGGTTGGTTTGGAAACTTAGAGGCCTGGGTTTAGAACGTGTTAGCTACAAATTAAACTTTTTCTAACTTTTTAAGCTTAATTACTAAAGGGGTTCCTAAAAATTAGCCCTTTTAAGCTTTAAGGTAACGGTTTAGGCTTTAGGTGACAAGAAGGGTGTGGTCCTAATCATATATAATAAACCAAGGAATTAAACTAAGGTTAACCACTCGAAAGGAACAATCAAGCTACAAGGAATAACTCACTCAAAAGATAACAAGGAGAACCCACAACAAGGGTACAGGAATCACACAAAAGGGTACACTCTCACGGTAAGAAGGTAGGCTCAAGAAGGATACCTGTAGTCTCCTCCTCCACTAAGCCCTCGGCCTCAGCCTGCGACCGACTCATCACGAACACCCTGCCCGAAGGCTTCGTCCCTCCCGAGCCTTGACCGGAACTCCCTCATGGCGGTCCTCCGGATCTAACGCTAGATGGCAAGGCTCTCTGGTTGGACTAGAGGTGGCACTCAAAAGCTTTGTGGCCCCTTTCCCCACACTTGAAGCACTGAAGCGCGTTCCCTTGGCAATCCTTCTCGATGTGATCCTTCCCACATCTCTTGCATCTGAAGGGCCTCCCTTTTTCCCCACTTTCGACCCGAGTCGATCCTTGAGACTGAGGAAGTGCGGGTCTTGCTCTGAAATCTTGCCTTGGCCTCTTGAAACTCTGACATCCACTTCCTTCACTTCTCTTCTTGGCAAACTCATGGGATCCCCTTTGAAGCTGTTGCACTCGATACAGAGCTGCTGCGCTCAGATAGGCCTCATTGAGCGTCCTAGGCTTGCTCACCGTCAAAGCTTTCGGGCTTCGTAGTTGAGTCCCGCAACAAACTTCTCCACCTTAGCCAACTCGGTGGGAACCAACATCCGAGCAAAGCGAGCTAACTCGAGAAAGCGTTTGTGGTATTCCACCACAGTCGATGACCCTTGTTGGAGATGCAAGAACTCTTCGTACATGGCCGCTCTAACGTGGGATGGGTAGAACCTCTCTGGTAGCTTATCCTTCAAAGCCGACCAATCGAACCATGGCTCTTCTTGGCACGCTGGGCCTTCATGCACCCAACAAAGGTCGGCCTCGTGGCTAAAGTATAACGAAGCCAACTCGACGCGGCGATCATCCGAACAACCCACAACAGCGAAAATCTTGTCCAAGGACCTGATGTAACACCCCGTGTTACGACCCCCAAAACCAATTAATTAATTAATCAATGGCCCAAGAGAAAAGATAAATCATAATGATTAATCAGGGAAAAGGCCCACCATAATCCGTGGGCCCTCATCTCTAAACCCAACCCCTAATCCAAAAGGATTAGACCCCAAAATAAGACCCCTAGGTATATAAATAGGGAACTTAGGAGGCACCTAGAATTCCCACCACAAGAGTAACGCCCCACCACCCCAAAAGAGCTCCAAGAATCCCCTTAGAAGAAATCAAGAAAGCAAGAAAGCTTAAAGAAAGATCCTTCGTAGCCAAGGAATTAATTAAGGCTAAGAGGTAACCCATGTCTCAACAAAACCTATTTTCATAGCTATGATTTCCCCCGTAGGATTTCCCCATATTATTGTGTATTGATGATTTGGGTTATTATTATTGATGATTGATGGGATAATTCCATGGGTGATCTTGATGATGAGAGGTTCTTGATAATTATGGTGTTCTTGATAATTATGTGGAGTTCTTAATGATTATATGTCGTTCTTGATAATTGTATGGCGTTCTTGATGCTTATGTGTTATTTGTACCGAATCTTGTAATTAGAAGACGAATCGTATTCTTGTTGGTATAAAAGTGATTAGAACCCTAGGTTGTATCGTATGACATTATTCTTGGTGTATCGGGTGGGGAAATCGCATGTTTGGGTGTCGATTATGTTTAGAAAAGCATGATAGGTTATGTGTCGTACGTTTCTCGTATTTGATCCGTTAATTGTCTACGTGTTGATCGTTAATTACGTTGTAAAGTGTCTAAGCATGGTTTCGGGTTCCACAATGGTTCCCGGGGCGTTTTGTGTGTAAAGAGTCAATGGGGGGTAGGTGGGGTGTAGGGGACCCGCCACCTACCCGCGGCCAGAAGGGACGTCTCCGGCAGCGGGCAGCCGGCGGGCGGGCAGCTGCCCGCCGGCGACCCGCTGCCCGGAACAGTGCTTACCGGCGGGCAGCCGGCGGGTGGCCCCCCACCCACCGGCTACCCGCTGGAAATCTCCCCCATTCGGGACCCCGGCTTCCCCGTTTGATGTTCCCCCGATCCCCGTGGTGTCCCAACGGACTCCGTCTATCGTGCCTATGTCTAGTTGATGTTTCGGGTACCGTTCGTAGGTTGTATGAGTCTTATATATTGCATGCTAGTTGAATTGGTATCCCGTTGACCTAGGTGAAAGAAGTATGAACCCCTTAGGATTATTCTTAGTATGTGAAGGATCACGCATAGGTTTCGTTATACGTTTTCTCCCCCTTCCCAATGTGATAATGTGGGTTGCATGTGCTTGCTATGTGTTATGTGTGCATGATACCCCAATTCGGTTGCGATCGGATTAGTTATTCCTGAGCTGCGGTTCAGAAGCTGGCTGCGGTCAGATTTACACTCTCGGGCTGCGGTCCACCGTTTGGTTGCGATCAAACGTTTCTATATGAGCTGCGGTTCATACTTTCCTGGCTGCGGTCAGATGACATACTCTTGGTGACGTAGGATGGAAGCTCAAGAAACAATCACACAAATTATAAGAACTCAAAGGGAATAATATCCTTCTTTTTTTATCTCCAGGATTACAGAATATATGAATATATAGGCAAGTCCCTATGAGAATCCGCAACAGAAATATAAATGCAATGTTTTGAGAATGGAAAAGACATCTAGAGCCACATGAAAAATAAATACTTGATATAAATAAAAGCAACTAATAAATGCATGGGACTTGGGACTTGTATTTCAGCTACCTGCATGTGTGAACGCCATCATTCTCCCCTTCCTGAAGAAAACTCGCCCTCGAGTTTAGCAATATCTGAATACAGAGGCTCCGCATCAGAATGAAATTGGAACAAGTCAGCCACATTAAAAGTCTTGGAAATTTTCCACTCATCGGGAATGTCGACCACGTAGGCATTAGGATTGATTCTTCGCAGGATCTTGAAAGGACCATGCTTCTTTGGGCTAAGCTTATGATAAAAACCAGTTGGTAGTCTTTCTTTACGGAGGTAGACCATCACTTCATCACCAACATTGAAGAGTTGTTGTCGCCTTTTTTTGTCTGTAGCAGCCTTGTACTTGGTGTTGGAAGCTTCAAGTTTGGTACGTACCTCTTGCTGAACATTCTGGACTTGTGAAGCCATGGTATCTGCTTGCTTGTGAATCTTTTCGGAGGAAGGCAACTGGAGAAGATCAATTGCATGCTTGGGAGTTTTTGTGTAAACAACGGAAAAAGGAGACCGACCAATGGAGGAGTGCATAGAACTGTTATATGCAAATTCAGCTTGAGCAAGAGCAAAGTCCCACTGTTTGACGTTCTCATAGCAGATACAACGAACCAAATTTCCCAAGGTTCGATTTGTGACTTCAGTCTGACCATCAGTTTGCGGGTGAGCAGTGCTACTAAATTGTAAACTTGCATCAAAGCGCTTCCACAAGGTAGTCCAGAAATGAGATAAAAATTTTGTATCCCAATCAGATGTGATTGTGCGTGGGACACCATGGAGTCTGACCACTTCTTGGAAAAATAAACGAGCAATGTGAACTGCATCACTAGTTTTCTTGCAGGGAATGAAGTGCGCCATCTTTGAGAAGCGATCAACAACTACGAAAACAGAATCAAACCCTCTTTGTGTCCGTGGCAACCCCAAGACAAAATCCATGGATAAATCTTCCCAAATATTTTCTGGGGTTGGCAATGGCATATAGAGGCCTATATTTTGGGAGTGCCCTTTATTTGTTTGACAAACATAACACCGTTTGACAAAAGTTCCAACATCACGTTTTAGTTGAGGCCAAAAAACCGTTCTTCAACAGAGACAATGGTTTTATCTCTACCAACATGACCACCCAACCCGCCAGCATGCAAGTCCCGGATTAATTTTTCACGCAAAGAGGTTCGAGGAATGCAAAGGCGATTACCTTTAAAAAGATATCCGTCAGAAATGTGATAATCTTGTACTGGAGTATTCTGCAAAACTTGTTTCCAAATAAGATTGAAATCTCCATCTTCGGCATATTGCTCCTTTAGAACTTCAAACCCGATAATTTCACCTTGCATTACCACGAGTAAGGATCTGCGTCGGCTAAGTGCATCAGCTACGCGGTTGGTTGCTCCTGATTTATGCTTGAGAAGGAAGGTAAATTGTTCAAGATAAGCCGCCCAACGAGCATGCATTTTATTGAGATGCTTCTGGCTCCGAAAATATTTTAATGCTTCATGATCTGAGTAGATTATAAACTCTCCTGGTCTGAGGTAATGAGCCCAAACATGCAGTGCCCGTATAACTGCATAAAGCTCTTGTTCATATGTAGACCAATTTTCTCGTGCAGCACTCAATCGCTCACTAAAGAAAGCAATAGGTCGACGACTTTGAGATAGTACTGCCCCAATACCAAGTCCACTGGCATCACACTCCAATTCAAAAGGTTTTGAAAAATCTGGGAGAGCCAGGACAGGTGCTGTGGTGAGTTTTTTCTTGAGTTCAGTGAAACTCTGCTCAGCTTTCTTCCCCCGATGAAAACCACCCTTGCGAAGGCAATCAGAAATAGGAGCAGCAATAGTACTGTAATTTTGTATAAACCTTCTGTAGAACGAAGCTAGACCGAGGAAACTTCTGACTTCACTTACAGACCGAGGTCTAGGCCAGTCTCGTATCACTTGGACTTTCTCATCATCTACGTGAACTCCTTCTGCACTGATTACGAATCCAAGGAAAACCAACCTTTTTGTCATGAAAGAGCATTTTTTTAGGTTGATGTACAACTTATTTTCACGCAGGACTTACAGGGTAATGCGTATGTGCTCCTTATGCTCCACTTGATCTTGGCTATAAATTAAAATGTCATCAAAATAAACAACGATGAACTTTCCAATAAAAGCTTTAAGGACTTGGTTCATGAGTCTCATGAATGTGCTTGGGGCGTTTGAGAGCCCAAATGGCATAACAAGCCATTCATAAAGTCCATCTCGAGTCTTAAAAGCTGTCTTCCATTCATCACCCGGCCTAATGCGCACTTGGTGATACCCGCTCTTTAAATCAATTTTAGAAAATACCTTTGCACCATGGAGTTGGTCTAGCATGTCTTCAAGCCTTGGGATTGGAAAACGATATTTCACTGTGATTTTGTTAATGGCTCGGCTATCCACGCACATCCTCAAACTTCCATCTTTTTTTGGGGTAAGCAAAGCGGGAACGGCACATGGACTGATACTTTCTTGAATTTGTCCCTTTCGTAACAATTCCTTCACTATGTTATTGAGAGCTTCACTTTCAGCCGGGTTCATGCGGTAATGAGGAAGGTTTGGTAAGCTAGCTCCAGGGATCAGATCAATCTGGTGTTGTATGTGGCGCAAAGGGGGCAAACCATCTGGGAGCTCATCTGGCATTATATCTTCGAATTCCTTCAACAAAGATTGAAGCTCACCTGGTATACAATCAATAACTGGCCCACTGTCTTTTGTTATCAAGACCAAGACACTGCATGTATCCTTGGCTTCCTCCACAAAATGTTTCCATTTATCCAGAATGGTTATTGCACAAGTTTTCTGTGTTGGTGACTTGGCCCAAACAACTGGAGGGATGACAATCTTTTTCTGATTCCAAAAAAATTCATAAGTATTTAATTTTCCTCAATGGGTAGCATCCACATCATATTGCCAAGGCCTACCCAGAAGGATATGGCAAGCATCCATATCAATGACTTCGCACACCACATAATCTTCATAGCTTTTCCCGATTGAGATTGGGACTCTACACACTTTTGACACAATAACAGAAGGGCCCTCCCTAATCCATCCCAACTTATATGGTTTTGGATGCGGTTGGGTTGGGAGGTTAAGATGTTCCACAAGGGTCTGAGATATGATATTATCACAACTCCCATTGTCGATGATGAGTTTGCAGACTTTACTGAGCACGGTACAATACGCCCGGAAAATGTTGTTTCGCTGAACAGGAATCTTTTCTTCAGTAGTGTACAAGAGTCGGCGAACCACAAAGCTAACATGCTCTCCATCTTCTTCTGCAACTTCAACATTCTCCTCAATAAATTCCTCATCACCTCCTTCCTCTGTTCCACCATCTATCAAGTTTACAGTTTTTCGAGCTCTACACTCATTTGACCGATGACCGGGTTCGCCACACTTAAAACATTTACCGGTCATTGGTCTGGCGTATGGATTTGAGATAGATTTTTGTGCAGGAACATTATTACCTTGTTTTTGTTGCTGGTTCTTTGAGCTGCCTATTTCACTAGCCAACACAGGTCGAGATGATGGGGTAGCAGCTTGAATAGGATTAACGTCATGTGATTGGGTCGTCATTGGCTTTGGTGTAGAATATGTTCTTCTCTGATTGGATTGCGTGAGGAGGTCCTCTGCTCGGACGGCCATATTATATGCCTCATCAACAGACCAAATAGGAGTGAGCGACATCTTTTCTCGAATATTAAATCTTAACCCGTTAATGTATCGGGCAGTCTGTTGCTCAGGTGTTTCAGACAAATTGCAGCGCGCCCCTAATCGATAAAATTCCTCTGTGTATTCACTCACACTTCGAGATCCTTGAGAACACCTTTGATATTTTTGGAACAGCTGTTGTTGATAATCTGGTGGTAAAAATCTTGCAGTCATAAGCATTTTCATTTTTCTCCATGAAGTAATGAGTCTCTTTCCTTGCCTTCTCCTATTATTCTGCGTGACCTCCCACCATGCTGCTGCTCCACCTCTTAGCTTATGTGCTACGTATTTGGCCTGACGTTCCTCTGGTATTTCCATCATGTCGAAGCATTTTTCGACCTCATAACACCACTCAAGGAAAGATTCAACATCCAAGTTTCCATTAAAGGTAGGGAGATCCACCTTTGGCCGGTAATAATTCTGTCTGCGATCAAGATTGTTCATATTATGATCCTCATCTTCGGAGTCGCTACTGCTCACGCTGGGAGGTGGCAGATTAGCTTGCGGGAAGGCTCTTCGCACAGGTCCAGCAGCAGGGTTATTTCCTTCGTCGTTGTTAGCCGGGATAGCCCCGCGACTAACAAGTTGCAGGCTAAGGTTGGCAAGAATATTACGGATGTCTTGAAATTCACGGTTCATGTTGTCACCTTGCGTTTGCAACGCTGCCCAGAGGGCGTCAACACCACGGTCATCGCCAGTGGGTGGAATGTTTACGCCATTGTTATTGCCGTTGTGTGCCATAGTGGGTCGAAAACAATGGAGAGGACAAAGTCGCTATCTCGATTGTATGCCTAGGATCTTACGGCTCTGGATACCAACTGACGTAGGATGGAAGCTCAAGAAACAATCACACAAATTATAAGAACTCAAAGGGAATAATATCCTTCTTTTTTTATCTCCAGGATTACAGAATACATGAATATATAGGCAAGTCCCTATGAGAATCCGCAACAGAAATATAAATGCAATGTTTTGAGAATGGAAAAGACATCTAGAGCCACATGAAAAATAAATACTTGATATAAATAAAAGCAACTAATAAATGCATGGGACTTGGGACTTGTATTTCAGCTGCCTGCATGTGTGAACGCCATCACTTGGGCTGCGGTCCACTGTTTGGTTGCGATCAAACTATGATGAGCTACGGTTCATCGGTCGGTTGCAATCGACCCCTCCGTGTTGCGATACGGGGCAGGGTGCTGCGGGGCCGTGTCAGAGCTATATGCGCTGACCCTCATGTATGGGCATGCGATAGGTCCTGTGGCGCCAACAAAGTGTGTTATGTGATGAGATAGGGATGAGTTGTGATTATGAGTATCTTGGGGGATGTGACTATGGGATTTATGCTGGGGATTGTTTATATTGGGTTATGATTATTAATTGTGTTCAGCTTTATCTGTCTTGCCTGTTGTGGATGGTATACGCTTGTTATAACTGTTGCTTGTGTCTGGCCTTATCTGTCGAGTCATTCCCGGTTTTAAAGCTAGAGTTCGTAGGATATATCTTCATGCTCAAAATGGTTTTCGTATATCTATATATATCTCTATATGTATTGTATTTCAACGCGTTGGAGTGGGTTACCAGCATCTCTCGCTGAACAGATATATTTGGCTTTCAGGCACAGAAGAATAAGTCACTGGAGCGCGCTAGAAATTGGAGCATAGAAGTAGATAGTTTCCCTTTCGGCCTGCGTGCCATGCTTATGTCTTTACATTATCAAGGATATTAGTTAGTTAGCCTATGCACCTGAGTTCTCCAGCTCAGGTGTGGCATAGCACCCCGTACTCTTGTATTACGTTTTGGGATTTAATGAGATTTCGCCTTTATTTTATAAGTTTTAAATGTCTTGAAAATTCGGGGTGTTACAGTTGGTATCAGAGCCTAAGTTTGACCCTAGAAAAAGACTCTTAGGACCGGACTTTAGGACATTAGGCTTGAACTCTAGGTACCTAGGAACATAGGACTCGGAAATCTTAGGGCGCGCGGTGAGATTGTGAAACCTACACATAAATTCCCGCACCTTACCCCTTCCCGTTCTAAAGCCCTCCCCCACTTATCACTTCATAAGAAGTGCATCGAACTCTAACCTAACGTTCTTATAAACGCTGACCAGAAAGACGATAGCATGGCCCCAAACAGAAGACAATCGAGGACCCCAGAGCCCGCCACTGACGATCCCTTGACCCATACCTTACAACAACTAACGCAAGTCGCGCAGGCACTAAGTGACGTAGCCCTTCGCAACAACAGGCCCCCACCACCTCCATCAAACGCAAACTCAGACATCGCCCGACAAGTCTCAAACCACCGACCACCAACATTCTCAGGAGAAGAAGACCCCGCGGTCCTAGAAGAATGGATCCGGACCCTTGACAAGATTCTAGGAGTAGTAGAATGCCGGGAGGGACGTCGCGTAGAGATAGCCTCGTTCTACTTCGGACACGAGGCCGATCTCTAATGGATCCACGAGGGGCCCACTTACCGACAAGAACCGGGATTCAACTGGGAGAGCCTCAAGACACGACTACGAGAACGATTTTATCCAACCCACGTGAAAGCATCCATGTACGAAGAGTTTCTCCATCTGAATCAAGGGACGGCCACCGTCATGGAATACCATAAACGATTCCTCGAGCTGGCACGCTTCGCGCCAGAGCTAGTCCCCACCGAGGTAACCAAAATAGAAAGATTCGTATCGGGCCTCAACTTCGAAGCCCGGAAGGCACTAGTGGTAAGCAGGCCTCAGACCCTCAATGAGGCTTACTCCAGTGTCGCAAATCTCTATCGAATCCAACTACTCCAACGCGGAGTTCAGGAGCAAATACGAAGGAGAAACACCGGGAGTGGGGCACCACCGGCGAAAAGAACGAGGAACGACACCAGCGCAAGATCAAACAATCCGGCCAATCAAAGACCGCCCCTGGGGAACAATGAAGCTAATCCAAGAAGCTTCCCTTGCCCGAAATGCAACAAAAGCCATAGAGGCAAGGATTGCATGGGCAACCCCTGGCGATGCTTCAATTGCGGAGAGGAAGGACACAAGGCCTTCCAGTGCACTCGACCCCAAAAGCCACGCCCCACCGCCGTGGGCCAACACGGGGGCACCGGTCATCAAGGGAGTTACGGCGCTCCCGGGAAAATATTTGTTATGAGCCACACTCAAGCCAACCTTGGAAACGAGGAGGACCTCGGAGAAGGAAATCCAATCCTGGAAGACGAGGACCATGCGGACCCCACGGAAGAAAATCAAGAAAGCAAATACTGTCTGGGATAAACCGTCACACCCCCTTGTAACCACCCCCCCCCCCCCCCTTGTTGTAAAAACCACTTACTTAGCTTAGCTATTTCGCAATTATTATGAATAAAGATTTTTGGTCGAATTTCAATTCCACCACAGAGGTAAAACACAAGTTATATCACCAACCCAACCCTTCCCCCACTAAAGGACAAAATAAGGAAAAAGACAAGGACCACACCATCAATAAATATTTAATGTTACCATTAGGAATAGAACCTTGGACCTCTACTCTACAAGTTAAAGCCCTAACCACTAGCCCATGGGTGTTTCTTGAAACCACAAGGGAACACCCCCTTGTTAAACCCCTCCAAATCCCTAAAACCCACAAAACCCCCAAATCAAAAACCCTTCTTCTCCTTCCTCCTCTTCTCCTTCCCCATTCCTTCCCTTTTTCCCCCTCTCACGCACACCACCACCCCCCTACCCGGAAAATCACCAGCCACCCACGTCACCACCAACTGGACGCCGTCGCCACCCGGCCGCTCCCCGACGACCTCGCGCCGCCGCCCCGCCGTCCGAACTGCTCCGCCGGAGGTCACCCGCAACACCAAGGACGCCGCCCGCCATCCACCCGAACTCCGCCCGCTGCCATCGACGCCCCACGCCACCGAAGACCTCCACCGCCTCGCCGAGCCGCCGTCGAGCTCCGCCCCACCGTCGCCACCTCGCAGCAGCTCGAATCACCGCCGGAAAACTTCGCCAGAGACCCACCGGAAAACTCGCCGGAAAGTGCCACCTATCGCGATGCCAAAGAAACCCCCCGGGAATCCGCACCCCGGAGTGGAGCAATGCCGATTACACCGTAATCGGAGGTAAAGCACTTGAACCCGACCAATTCTCTCCGGAATTGGTTGATATGCTTAGACATCAAGGGCTCTTAGATACTTACCTCGCCATCAAAAGGGATACATACCCCGACTTGGTGAAAGAATTCTACCAACACCTTGTGGCCACCAAACGAGGTGACAAAGTAGAAATCACCACCAAGGTCCGTGGCAAGGAAATTGTGCTTTCCGAAGGCCGTTTGGCCAAACTCTTGAAATTGACCACCACGGGTGTGTCTAACTATGACCGGAAGGGGTGGATTGATACCCAAACCACGGGATACAAGGATTACCTCGGGTACCTACTCGGGAAGGAGGACGGGTTCACCTCGGCCACACGGCCAAACCGGAAGTGGCTATCGGCAGAGCAAAAGATATTGGTTATGATTGTAACCGATAGCCTCTTGCCCACCAATAATAAAAGCAAGGACGTAGGGAGCCTAGAGTGCACCTTTGCTTATCTCTTGAAACATAAAATCAAGTTCAACCTGCCGGCACTCATGCTAAAGCACATGGAATTCTACAAGACAAACAACCAGCTTAGTCTACCCTACGGGATGATCCTAAGTTGGATCATGGAAAAGAAAGGGGTGGACCTAAGCCACACTGAGGTCAAGACCGCCAATGGCATGGTTTTCAATGCCCAAAACCTCCGCCGCAACGACATCTACTACACCGAAGGGGGACATTACCTCACCCTCGAAGAAATTTGCCAAAAACCCGAGGAAGAGCGGAGAGAATTGGTTGACCGATTGGACATCTCCAACAAGAAGCTCAAGCGAGCCATGCAAGATTGTGGGGGCTCGGAGGAAAATGAGGAACAGGAGGAGGATGACGGGCCTAACCCGTCAGTGCACCCACGGTCGGGAGGGGACACGAGGGGACAAAACGAGGGTTCGGTCAATGAGCGCATTCTCGCACAACTCAACCGACAGAACCAAATCATGGAAGAAGGGTTCTCATCCTTGATTCGCACCACGCGCGCACTCGATCAGAGGGTAGCAGCGATCGAGGCCGCCTTGGGCACTCGTGGGGCACCCAGTTCCAGCGCAGGAAACCGAGGTACACCCGGAACTTCTCTATCACAACACCACCAAAAGTTCAGCCTACCCCGAGCCAAGGCAAACGTAGGGCCGCATTCCTAATCAGGAGGCCGAGGTACGAGATGTCTAGGGGTGAAAGGATGGGCTATCACACCGGGCTTCGGGGACGAAGCCCCCTTGTAAGGGGGGGAGAGTGTAACACCCCGTGTTACGACCCCCAAAACCAATTAATTAATTAATCAATGGCCCAAGAGAAAAGATAAATCATAATGATTAATCAGGGAAAAGGCCCACCATAATCCGTGGGCCCTCATCTCTAAACCCAACCCCTAATCCCAAAAGGATTAGACCCCAAAATAAGACCCCTAGGTATATAAATAGGGAACTTAGGAGGCACCTAGAATTCCCACCACAAGAGTAACGCCCCACCACCCCAAAAGAGCTCCAAGAATCCCCTTAGAAGAAATCAAGAAAGCAAGAAAGCTTAAAGAAAGATCCTTCGTAGCCAAGGAATTAATTAAGGCTAAGAGGTAACCCATGTCTCAACAAAACCTATTTTCATAGCTATGATTTCCCCCGTAGGATTTCCCCATATTATTGTGTATTGATGATTTGGGTTATTATTATTGATGATTGATGGGATAATTCCATGGGTGATCTTGATGATGAAAGGTTCTTAATAATTATGGTGTTCTTGATAATTGTGTGGAGTTCTTGATGATTATATGTCGTTCTTGATAATTGTATGGCGTTCTTGATGCTTATGTGTTATTTGTACCGAATCTTGTAATTAGAAGACGAATCGTATTCTTGTTGGTATAAAAGTGATTAGAACCCTAGGTTGTATCGTATGACATTATTCTTGGTGTATCGGGTGGGGAAATCGCATGTTTGGGTGTCGATTATGTTTAGAAAAGCATGATAGGTTATGTGCCGTACGTTTCTCGTATTCGATCCGTTAATTGTCTACGTGTTGATCGTTAATTACGTTGTAAAGTGTCTAAGCATGGTTTCGGGTTCCACAATGGTTCCCGGGGCGTTTTGTGTGTAAAGAGTCAGTGGGGGGTAGGTGGGGTGTAGGGGACCCGCCACCTACCCGCGGCCAGAAGGGACGTCTCCGGCAGCGGGCAGCCGGCGGGCGGGCAGCTGCCCGCCGGCGACCCGCTGCCCGGAACAGTGCTTACCGGCGGGCAGCCGGCGGGTGGCCCCCCACCCACCGGCTACCCGCTGGAAATCTCCCCCATTCGGGACCCCGGCTTCCCCGTTTGATGTTCCCCCGATCCCCGTGGTGTCCCAACGGACTCCGTCTATCGTGCCTATGTCTAGTTGATGTTTCGGGTACCGTTCGTAGGTTGTATGAGTCTTATATATTGCATGCTAGTTGAATTGGTATCCCGTTGACCTAGGTGAAAGAAGTATGAACCCCTTTAGGATTATTCTTAGTATGTGAAGGATCACGCATAGGTTTCGTTATACGTTTTCTCCCCCTTCCCAATGTGATAATGTGGGTTGCATGTGCTTGCTATGTGTTATGTGTGCATGATACCCCAATCTGGTTGCGATCGGATTGGTTATTCCTGAGCTGCGGTTCAGAAGCTGGCTGCGGTCAGATTTACACTCTCGGGCTGCGGTCCACCGTTTGGTTGCGATCAAATGTTTCTATATGAGCTGCGGTTCATACTTTCCTGGCTGCGGTCAGATGACATACTCTTGGGCTGCGGTCCACTATTTGGTTGCGATCAAACTATGATGAGCTGCGGTTCATCGGTCGGTTGCGATCGACCCCTCCGTGTTGCGATACGGGGCAGGGTGCTGCGGGGCCGTGTCAGAGCTATATGCGCTGACCCTCATGTATGGGCATGCGATTGGTCCTGTGGCGCCAACAAAGTGTGTTATGTGATGAGATAGGGATGAGTTGTGATTATGAGTATCTTGGGGGATGTGACTATGGGATTTATGCTGGGGATTGTTTATGTTGGGTTATGATTATTAATTGTGTTCTGCTTTATCTGTCTTGCTTGTTGTGGATGGTATACGCTTGTTATAACTGTTGCTTGTGTCTAGCCTTATCTGTCGAGTCATTCCCGGTTTTAAAAGCTAGAGTTCGTAGGATATATCTTCATGCTCAAAATGGTTTTCGTATATCTATATATATCTCTATATGTATTGTATTTCAACGCGTTGGAGTGGGTTACCAGCATCTCTCGCTGAACAGATATATTTGGCTTTCAGGCACAGAAGAATAAGTCACTTGAGCGCGCTAGAAATTGGAGCATAGAAGTAGATAGTTTCCCTTTCGGCCTGCGTGCCATGCTTATGCCTTTACATTATCAAGGATATTAGTTAGTTAGCCTGTGCACCTGAGTTCTCCAGCTCAGGTGTGGCATAGCACCCCGTACTCTTGTATTACGTTTTGGGATTTAATGAGATTTCGCCTTTATTTTATAAGTTTTAAATGTCTTGAAAATTCGGGGTGTTACACCTGATCCACTCCTCAAGCAAGACAGGGTCCTCTTCTCCAGCAAAGACGGGCGGCCTATGCCCCGAAACTAAGCGGCCCACATCTCGATTCCCGGCAGGTGGTGGCGGAGGAGGGCTGTTGTTGTGCAAGAGGGCGTCGCTCAACGTCTGCATCGTCTGAGTCAAATGCTGCAGGTTCTGAGCCAGCTGCTCATTAGTCGGCGTCTCCGGGGTATGGGCACGATGACGAGGCGGAGCCATGGGGAGATTCTACAGAAACAACACGGTTACGGCAAGACACAAGGAAGCTGCGCACCCTTACCCGGCGTTAAAGACGAGAACGCTAAGACTAAACAAGAACAACAGGATAAACACAACAAAAGATAAAGAAACTCACATCTCACCGCGCGTCCTAAGGATCTTAAGTCCTAACACTTAAGCACTTAAAGGTCAACTTAGAGTCTTAAATTACACTTAGCTTCTTAAAGTTCAACTCTTAACATCCTAGGCTCAAACCTAGGCTCTGATACCAACTGTAACACCCCCGATATTACTAACATATTAAAACTTAAATTCAAATGATAAACAACTAATCATTAAGGCAATCAAAAGCGGAAGCTATTAAAACCGGGAAAGATGTTATGCAACACCCATAAAACTATGGGTGCACAGGCTAAATCTATCAAAATCATTAAGCATAACAAGTCTAGGCACACATGCCACTAGTCTAGGCACACAGGCCACTAGTCTAGGCACACAGGCCAACAAAAGATAAACGTCTAAGCGTAGGAGCTACACTATCTAGAGTCCACATCTAGCGCGCTCGGCATCTACTCAAAACCTGTAAAACATAGGGATAACACCTGGTCAGCGAATAATGCTGGTAACCCATCAATACGCGTTAAATAGCATAGTATAGATAGATATAATCAAAAGCATTTGAGATTGAGGAATACAGTATATAGTCATTTGAAAACCAGAAGGAAATCAACATCAAAGACTCATCAATCACTCTCAACAAGAACAAGGATCATCAACCCCAACGAGACAACAAAACCACAACAACAAGAGACAACACAACTCAAGATGCAACCTACCATTCACAAGGTAGAGTTCATCACAGACATGCTCATAAGCAAAGAAATCACACAACCACATAATGACACATTCATGTTTCACGTTTCATAGTTCCAACCTTATGCCCTATTCCAACCTTATGGCTACCCCCGACCTTATCACAGTTCCAACCGTTACCTCTTAGTGCCACCCTGTACTTCTGAGTCCAACCTTATTCTGCATGGGACCGTCGTCCCCCACCTACACCGCCAATCATTCACCGTCGAACTCTCAGTACACGAGGGTACCATTAAATATCATATTCACACACCACGGATCATGTAAGCAAAGCTCAAGTCATACACCACCAATCTCATTCATATTCACACATAGTCATCATCATCAAGAAGACTAAGGCACATCAATGGCCCCAATCAAGTATCAACAAAAGGTACAACGATTCGTACAAGATCACACCACAAGAATCAATCAAGAGATCACAACAAAGACATGAGACAATACTCAACAACGAAGGATACCATCCAACATCAAATGATTGACAACCCAAGTTGCCAACCCCAACAAGAAGGAACAAACCACACATACTAGCATAACAACATCGAACTAGCATGCTCAACAAGTGGGTAAACCAAAATGGCTCCAACGAACCTTCAAGACTCATATTAGCCCAACGAATCACAAAGTTGGACCCTTAGCACGATTGAAGACACCAAAGCCTAACATGGATTCCTAACACCTCGTTCTAGACATACGAAACATCAAGAAGACTCACAAATAGCTCAATAATCCAACAACGGGAGGTCAAAACATCAATAACATGAAGAAAAGGATCATGGGGAACAAATCCCCGCAAAACATCACATGTTCCCTGCGGGTGGGGCCACGGGTAGACCCCACCCGTGGGCCTGCCCGCGGGGTACACTCCCCAAAGACCACGTTCCCCGCGAGTGGGGCGGCAGGTATGCCACTGCCCGCCGTTCCACCCGCAGGGTACAACCCTGTACACAATTTCCCTTCGGGAATTTTCATCATCAAGGTCAAGTTCAAGTCCAAAACACCCAAAATCTCACACACAACAATGATATGACTTGAACCCAAGAAATAGCCAAGCAATGGCATACAAGAAACCTAAAAACAAGCTCTAAACATGCATCATCACAAGATCATGCATCAAATCACATCAAGAACATCAAATAGAAGCCAATAATCATCATTTAGGTAAGAAAATAGGTTTTGTATAGCATGGGTTACCTTTGTAGCTTAACAACTTCTCCTTTTCACCCTCTTAAGCCTCTTCTTAGAGCTCTTCTTCCACACCAACTTCTTACACAAGCCAAAACACAACAAAGATTCTAATTTAGATAAAGACACCCAAAAGATGGCTAAAAACACCAAAAAGCTAAGAACCTTACCCTTTCCTATGCTCAAGAAGAAGAAAGTAGGAATCTTGGTGAAGAATCTTGTAAGGCTAGGAGGTTCACCTTCTTGCTTGAAGAATAAGCTAGGTTATTTTAGAGAGATGTTAGAGTGTTTGAGACTTAGGCTTGAATAATGAATGAATGAAATGAAATGTCTTGCTAGGGTAGCTTGAACAACAATTCATGGGTGAAAGGTCACTGTTGCCCTTACTAAGGTTGGAAAGACAATGGGACAAGGGCACAACTCATAAAGCACAAGGTACACTTGATTGACTTAAGTGACTAGTCAAATTCTAGTCCCTAGACTATTAAATTTCAGGATTTTAGAAATGGATTACCAAAGAAAGCTTGGATTAATTCTTCAATTAATCCCCAATTAGTATTTAGATTTACGGGGTGTCACATCATCGGAGTTTGTTCTAGGCACAAACTGGTAAATTACAAAAATTAGATGACACTTTTGAGTAATGATTGAATATGTGGCCCAAATAGCAAGCACAAATGATAAACATTGAAACTATGTCTCTGATATATATATTTTTAGCTTAGGAAATACATTTCCTTAAATTGCATAAACTCTAAGATTTCTTGATTAAAGAGTAGCTGTGTAACATCATAGGATGAACAGATTTTCACATCACCACCTACATAACAAAAAAAATATATCCATAGGTTAGGTACAAACAGTCTATAAACATACAACTAATAGCTACAATTTTTAACTTACTTCTCAAACAGACTCTAGCTCTACAGAACTGTATTAGAACCAACAATGGCTCTTCAATAGCAGAATTGAAGAATGTCTCAACCTTGTTTACGTGGTCATCCCAAACTGTACAACTCAATTGAATACCCCTAAATTTTGTAATACAGATTAGGAATAAATACAGTGGAATAAATTTAGGAATATGATTAGTAAATTACATTGGAATAAATTTTCCTTCTAAAGCGAATAAATAAAAACATATTTACTTACTCAGAGTCTTCAATTACAAACTCAATCAACCTCGAGTTTTTGTCATTGATAATCTTATCTTGTGGAGCATGTATCTCTACCACACAACCAAGTACATCTAATTTTTGAAAAAATCTGATTAGTGTAATCTTAGGAAAAAATATATATAAATAAACGGTAAAAATGTAGCATTACCAAATGGTTGCTTTTCATCCACGAATTCCTTTGCTTTGATGGCACATTTGGTTCACGGAATGAATTTTAAAGGAATAGGAATAGTATTCCATAGGGAATGGAATAGGTAAGGAATAAAATAAGAATTGTATTCTATTGTTTGGTTCGTCAAAGGAATAGAGTTTAGGAATGTTATTCTAGTGTTTGGTTGGTTTAAGAAATAGAAATGAAATATGTGTTTAAAAGACATAAATGCCCCTATACAAAAAAATGTATTATTATTATTATTATTATTATTATTATTATTATTATTATTATTATTATTATTATTATTATATTATATATTTGGAATTAACCTAATTATGAGTGAACGGAGGCATTCGAAAACCCAATTGTTCAATGACCAGAGCACCGCCCCAACAGTCACCCCCATTAGCGTGAAAGGGCATTCGAGCCTCGCGATCACCACCCATATTAGCAATCAGAGCAGTCATCGGCGAATTTAGACCCCACGACACCCCCTGCCACCACAGGCTGAGCCCCCACGATACCAGTAGGCGGCATACCGCGACTCTGTATCCACGATCGAAGAATCGCCGGTGGCCGGAACTAGGGTCTCGAGAGGGGGACGTTGAGGCCATCGCCACACTCCCATTCTTTGTTAGATTCCTCTGTTCGTCGGAGACCCGATGGCTGCACAACAAATTCCGGAGATTTCTGATCGACAATCTGAGCAGTGGGAGTCGACGATTGCTAGGTTGCGCAGCTGGAGCTTTTTCGGCCTGTCAAGGCGGCGGTGGTGTCTCCATTTTTCTCCCGGCGACTGGACATGGTTCTCCCAGAGGTGGTGTCTTCATTTTTGCCCGGCGACCGACATGGTTATCCTGGCGGTGCTGTCTTCGAGTTGCGGCTGCGGTACCGCCGAAGAGCCGCATTAGTTTATATATATATACTAGTTTTTTACGCGCATTGCGCGATTGGGATAATGCCCAATGCTTTTTTTTAAATAAGTACTTTAAAGTATATTAAGACAGGATTATATTGAAATTGTTCATGCATAGATAATTGAAGGTTGAATTTGCGTATTTAAATAGGTAATTCTTCTCCCAAAGGTTGAGTCCCCAACCCCAAGGGCCTCCCACACTCCGACCCGACAGAGCATTGTGGGAAGTTGTAAATCACGGTGACTCAATGGTTCAGCAGACAGGGCCAAATGCTGATACGCACAAGGAATCTGCCCACTTTGGACATAATTCCCGCACTGCCGCCGCCGAGGTTCAAACCTTCGTCTCTTCTCCCAAATATTACCCACTAAACCATTGAGCTAAGCCTGTGCGGGTTAAATAGGTAATTCTAAGTTTACAAATGCAAGATAATATAGTCAAGATTGATTATAATTGTCAATAAAATAATTGTATAGGTATCGTTGAAACCAAATACGGGACATAAGGGAGAACAAATAAAAATTAGGACATAAAATATTAAATATATACTAATATTGTTTGAGGAGATTCCGACATTAGGATTTGTGGTTAAGTTCTATTAAGACTTTAATATTAGAATTAGATTAATGGTGTAGTTATAATTCTATATTAGACTTTAATATTAGAATTAGACTAACGGTGAATTAACGAAAAAGTTAAATGGATAATCATTTAATTAAGGATAAATTAGAAAATCTTAAAAGAAAAAATTAAAACCTGAACAATATGAACCATTCATTTGATTTAATAATTTGGCGGTCATTTTTTCTACTCAATGTTAATAATTAAATAAATTCGCTGGTCAAATCCGCTAACGTTAACCGCTAACTGCTGATTGTCAAACAAGGACATTGCGAGGTAGTTCTCACTTCAATTTGTTGTGTGATTTGAATACTCTCGTTGTCACAAAATCTCTCAAGTAGTTAATATGGTTGACTTTATTAATTATATTTTTTTAATTTTTTCATAGTATTAATAAAATACTTGGTAAATAAATATATAGCATTATTTTGTATTATAACTTTGATATTTAATTAGAAAAATAGTGCACAAAAAAGATAATATATAATGTAATGAATATAATCAATTGATGAATTTGAATGTAAAAATTTTTACATTTGAGAAAAATAAAGATAATATAACTAATGAAAATATTTCTTTTAATTAATTTATTGATAATTAATAAAAATTTTTTCACTGAATAAAGACATTGTAAGGATAATGTAGCGAATATAATCAATTAATAAATTTGAATATAAAGAATTTTTATATTGAAGAAAAATAAAGACAATATAACTAATAAAATTATTTCTCTTATTTAATTGATTGATAATGAATAATTTTTTTTTTCGAATAAAGGCATTGTGGACACATAATTCTAAATTAAAGAAATGCATATGTATTATTTTTTGTTGTAACTACTAAATTATTATTTATATAATTTAATAAGAGTAAAATAGAGTACTAATTATGCCAACTTTGATTGGGATGAGGTTCAAACCTAAGACCTTTTTTTATTGAAATCAATGAGTAAGTTAACGGTGAACTAACGGCAATTCTTAAAATTTTAACGGAATTAGTAACGGTGTGTGGGTATTTTAGAAAATTTTAGTGTAAAATTTAAATCTGGTCAATCTTTTAATTAATCTGAGCCATTCATTTGATTAAAATCTGTGACCGCCATTTTTTCTACCCATTATAGGCCTAACTCTCTTGGGCTCTTATTAGTATAGTATATTATATATATATATATATATATATATATATATATATATATATATATATATATATATATATATATATATATAATCAAATACATATAATAAATAAGGGTAAATAGGAATTAAATTATATAATGTATTCCTGAGAACTAAGGAATGACTTAATACCAGGGGGGTGCCGGTAATAGCTATTCCCCTTGTTCGCAGGAACAATGTTCCTGGGAATACAAGTTCTTACCAAACAACGGAATAGGCCTATTACTGGGAGTGTTATTCCATTCTGGGCCTATTCCGCGAACTAAACGTGCCATGAGTGTTTTGAAATCCATCAACCTATACATGTGTATTGGGAAATTTTTACCTCTGAACTCTTTGATGACTGTCTGATAGTTAAACTTTATCATGAATTTGTGAGGACTGATTTTGAAAGAGTAGAAATTGGTGATTACAACAAAGTTCTTAACCCCATAAACACTGCCTTCCTTAAATGTCGTACGGAATTTATCAACAATCTCTTTAGGTATATGTCCATGCAAGAATGTTCCCTGCATTTTTCAAAATCAAATTAGGACTGTAAACTTCGTTTTTTGCTGGACTGTAATAATTATATTCCTTAGAAGATTTTCGAATGTAATTTTAAAAGGAAATACATATTCCTTCGCAGCTTTAAGAATGTAATTTAAAAAGGAATTACATATTCCTAGCCAGATTATCGAATGATATTTTAAAAGGAATTACCTGTTGGTCATGGAAGACAACTTCCTTCGATTTCAGTATGGAAGATGACCTCCTCTCTAGGATGTCATACACCCGGACAACTCGCAATCGCATTGCGTTTCTGGTATTCATTGGTGAAATATATGCAGCAAGAACGTACATTGTAATCGTCGTTGAGAAGCAATTTTGCGATGAGGGTGTTTAATTAGAAGATGGCAACTGGTTTACTAGATAGTGCATTATATATAGTGTTTGATTAGAAGACTACCCGGACTTGCGTTGGAAAACGAGTGCTCCATTAATAGCTATGGAATAATGATTTCCATACACGTTTTATTGAAAAACGAAGAGACCAACGGGTTTATACTTAGTATTATATTTTGATTGGTTTAAATTGATTCTGTACCCAAAAATTAAAGGAAACAATTTTTTTTAAAAATATTTTGGAAACTGAATTGTTTTACACGGCATTTTACCCAAAATACATAAATATTCCACCTTGCTCTAAACGGCGTAGTTTGCTTTGTGTGGAAACTTTGTGCTATGTCATTTTGCTTTAATATATATATAGAGATAGAGATAGAAATTTGGATGAGTTGGTGGAATGCAAACGGTTTTGCCCAGATTTTTCACTCGTGAAGTCCTCGACTTCTCCGACCGCACACCGCCACGTGACGTTGAACTTCCCCTCGTGCGGCCTCGTGCCACTTCTATATCTCGCCACCACAGGCCACATAACTCGAAAACATTTTTATACCCTTCTATATATAAAATTTATTATTTATTATTTAATTGTTATTTTATCTTTGGGTCCTCGAGCTGGGCGTGCTCAGCTTCTCTCTCACTTCACAAAATTGGGAAAAACACTATTACTCACCAAAAGCAATTAAGAAGCAGTAGTGTTTTTCAGATCGCTGGAGCTCGACATGGCGGCAGCGGCGGAGTTGAAGTGGCGGGGACCGGTTTTCGCACTCGTCATCCTAGTTGCCCTAATCTGCACTCGGATCAAAGCTGACGTTGACGCCGATGCTGAGGTGGAGTTAGTCAGATCGGACAATCCTGATTTTTCCGTTGAATTGGAAAGTCTCAAGACTATGATCCATACTTTGGGTTAGTTCACGATCTCTCATCCGCTAATTGTTGTTGCATATGTGCTTATTGTTTACTTTTGTGATGTTTTATTACTTACGGAGTAGTATCTTATGTAGCGGGATTGCTAAATTAATTAGTTTAAAGAATTGCACTTCTAATTTTTTATTAGCTGAACTGAATTATGATTTGCCCAACTTGGTTCTAAGTTTTTATTTTTAAATTTTAAGTTGTAGCTCAAATTTCAAAGTAATGTAGGTATTCATCCCTAGAATTTACACAATTTTTTTAAAATCAAATTTCCCCTTTAGTATAATGAGGCCTTTATTCCAAGTTCCTACTAACATTTTTTGAGCTCAGTGATGAAAGTTTGTATCTTTAGAGAGTTTCCACATAATATAAAAATGCCTCAGAACTCAGAAGTAGATGAAAGTTTAATTGGAAGTTCTGTGTACCGAAAGATTGTAATTCTGTAGCTCAGATTTTGAAAGAATTTCATTATGGATAATTGACTTTCCAAATCCAAGCATGGAACTCTGATTTAAAGATTGGATTTTTAAGTAGTAGGAATGCTAAATTCAAGCATTTTAAAGCTGGGTGGTTTTGCAGACCTTTTTTTGGGCTATATAAGGTGAAAGCATTTTTAAAAAAAGCTAGTCTTAGGGTTCCAATCTCTTTAGCATCTTCACCAAACAGAACAAGTAAACTTTCTGGAGGGTCATTTGATACTAAATTAAGAGAACCATTTTTGGGTTTCTGTTTCCCAGTAATTTATTTCCAAGCAATATGCAATTGATGCAGCCGTGTGCTACACTGCATGGATTTGATACTTTTGTTGCTTCAAGTCACCCACACATCTTAAGGAATTAAGTTAGGAGGATGATGATATAACATTATACTTAAGACTCTCTGAATGTTTTATGTGTTTCTTTAGGCATTTATGTATAGAAGTTATTCATAAGTATTGCATTATATTTTTTTTAGGTGCTAAGTCTAGTAAGTGCTTTGTGTTGGATTTTTGTTCATATTATTTGAATATGCTTTGTAGATATTCATATTAAAAAAATGTCTTTTGTCCTGCACTGTCCCTCAATGCTGGAGAGATGTCAACATGCTTGCTCTTTCCTCTCATGTTTGACATACAAAAAATGATGGTAATTGAACATTTAGATTTTTAATATGAATTCCACTTGAAGAATCACAAGTTGAGGAGAAGGCTCGGGAATTAAATTTAAAGGATCAGGTGATCGCTGAGAAGGAGAATATCATAAAGGAGAAATCAGATAAAATTGCCTCATTGCAAACTGAATTTTCTTCTTTACAGGTGAGCCATATATAACTGCAAACACTTCTCTAGTATTTGCATATTCTGCTACATTTACCTCTATTACATATGTGTTTTCATTAACATTTTTGTTTATTTTTTAATTATCATAGAAAAAGGGGTCATTGGATGCTCGTGAGCAGGTTGGAAAAGCACAGGCACGAGCTGATCTTTTAGAAAAAGAGGTTGACAGTCTTAGAAAGGACATTGAGTGGAAGAGTGAGGAGAATAAAGAACTTGAAGCCCAAAAAATTGTAGCAGAGAAGGAATTGACTGAATTGAATACAAAAATATTCAAAGTAAGCTGCTTTTATTTGCATTTAGTTTTTCATACTATATGGTTACATTTTTTTATTGTTTTGTATTTTATTTCTTGTGCATCATATTTTGAAATAGCACATTTTTCTTCATTTAGTTATTTTGTTTTAACACCTAGGAATGGCCAATTGATACTTATATTGTATATTTGTATGTCCTAAACTTAACCCCGGAAAATTCTTCTGAAAATGTGCTTATCAAGCATAAAATGAAATGCATAATATTGAGAAACATATGCACATACTCTTTTGGAAATGTCAAAGGCTGAGTTTGACATTATGTTTTGATACATGCTGAGGAAGTCTTATTTTATTATATTAGATAGTTTAGATATTAATATATTACGAAATAGTTATTTAGAAACTAATAAATAGTTATTTAGAAATTACTAAATAGTTATTTACCTTATTATTCTTAGTCTTTGAATTAATTTAGGTAGTTTAATTACTTAGAAGATTTCAGCAGATTACTTAGCTTATTTAGTCATTCTATGAGTTGTATTTTACCGTATAAAAAGGGAGTATTATTCAGAATAATGACAAGCAGAAATTCAATCCCAAAAAGGGTCAAAGGGAGTTTTGGGTCTCAAGCAAACCCAGTGTTTTCTTCTTTTCCTTTTCCAATTATTATTCTTTCTTTCTTTTTCCTTATGTTTTCTTGCCCATAACGGGAGCACATAACATTGGTTCCGTTGCCGGCGTCATGGCCACCACTCGGTCTGAGTTTGAAGCTCTCAAAGAAACTGTGAATGAGTTGAAACTCTTAGCAAAAGAGCTATGCAGACATCGCCTTGGAGAATTGGGTGAATATCCCAATGACTTGAAGCAATGTATTGCAAAATTCCTCAATGACCAAACACCAAAAATCAATACGCCAACTTCCTTAAGAAGTCAACAAACAGATGGAGATGTTACATCACTCAACGTGGATGATTCATCATTCACAATCATTGTTGATCACCCACATGTGGAGATAGCTCCAATGCAAGCCACTGTTTCAGTCGATCAGCCTCATGTGATTTCAACACAAAAGGCTGCTGAAATTGAGATTGTGCCCTTTCCAAAAACTGTCCTATGCGTGGGAGGCCATTTGCATTTCTCATCAAATGCTGTTGTGTGCTGGATTATGCCGGCAATTAATAGGGTGTTTAATTGTGAAATATAAAATGTATTCTTGAAGAAAAATATAAGACACACTATTGCATTTTGAACATGATCACTTTGCTCCTCCTTTTTAAAATGAAGTTCAGGGTTAAAATCTAAGTTTAAAAAATATTTTCAAGGTTAAAGTGCACTCTTGTATTTTATTTTGGTGTTTTACTTTATTTTTATTTTTAATTTTTTGAACATACTCCTGCTAAATAATGTAGTATACTGTATACATATACATATACTAATCCTTTGTTTAAATATCTTTTTCAAGATGAAAGTGTACAGTTGTATTTATAATTGGTACTTTATCATTTTTATTTGTTATTTTGTTGAAGGTATTTATGCCACATGTCACATACTAACAATAAACAACACTTAAAATTTGTGTCCCTAGTGCGTTGTGTCTTATTTTTCTGAAATGGCATATCTTTATTTCTATTTCAGATTCTAACATTACAGTTGTATCTCTATGTTTGCTCCATAGATAACTAGACATTAATCATTACGGGATGGTGGTCAGTTACATATGTTTGCTTCATTAAATTTTATTAAGCACTATAATTCATGAGTCTGATATGTATCATACACTGTCCTTAAATAATTGTCAATTTGACTGCTCTTTTGGTCAATTTGAGAAAATTTTTAATTAAGTTATGGCAGTGATAAATGTAATTTTTTAAAGTGAAATTAAATATTTAAAACTACATCAAATGTACTACTTGTCTAAAAAATCAGAACCTTTTACTTTTAATAGTTTTTGGTCAAAGATAACTTTAGTTTACCATCAGGAAGTGGAAAGCGCTAATAAAAGGGAACAAATTATTGTTGTTGTTGTTATTATTATTATTACTGGGATAAGATTTTATCCATTTCTGCTTTGCTTTTTCTATTTTGAATATATTAGTATTCTTTTTAGTATATACATCCCTTGGTCTATATTGAGAATGTCTAAACTATGTATATTATTGGAATACATAACTGGATAAAACTGTATCTTGTTCTTGGTTCATATTCTTTGCCAGTAACCATCTGATGGACCATCATATTATGATTTCTTTCACAGCTGTCAAGTCTCTTTCCTAAGCTAAACCTAGAATATAATTACATACTGCCAAAAAGGTTTGGAATCTATAAACCCTTTATAAAACATAGTATAAAATATCCTACTGCATTAGTTCATTGCAGATTGCAACGAAGGCAAAAGTAGAGGTCATGTTTTTTTTGTAAAATGAGAACCTGGTAATCTGGTATACCATAAGAACCTAAATAACTTTCTTTGCCAAGAAATGTTAAGCAGAACCTACAAAGGGAAAAGTTAATGGAACATAATGCATTTACTAGGAAAGCTTATCATTGCTCAATGAAGTCCTCTACAACCTACTTCATGGTGAATTCCAGATAAGAGTTGCATCATATTTTATTCATGATTTCTTTTAGTAATAAACTTATGAACCTATAATAACAATTTTTTATACATCAAATGGAGAACTATACTAATAATTAATAATTTATCAAAGTTTTAAAGATCTCTTCTTTATACAGTTCTGATCTTCTTTTGTTTTGTATATCTGCAGTTTCAGAAGATCACTGAAGAGCAGACTGCAAAAATACAAAAAACTGAGCGGGCTCTTCAAGTTGCTGAGGTATGCTATCTTATACACCCCAAAACTAGTAAAGGTTTGTGTGATTAATTAAAGTTTCCTAAATCTTATAGGAGGAAATGATGAGAGCACGATTTGATGCCACAACAAAAACTAAAGAGTTAATGGAGGTAAGACTAGTTGATTGATCTACCTACATTATACACGCAGTTTTAAGGTTGGAACTCCCCTCCCCCCTAAAATTTAATCTGAAATTGCCTATTTCATGGGTAGAATTTCATTTTTATTTGTTACTGGTCCAAAAAAGGGAAAAGAAAAGAATAAAAGAAACTTTGTTGAAGACTTGTCTAAATTTCTGGAGATTATTGTGAATTCCCATTCTATTGTAAGAGTGAAGTAATTCAGTTTGTTGTTAATACTTAATAGTTTTGGAATTCACCATTCATGTGGGAGCTGTGGTGTGTACTTTCTCCTACATGTTTTCTGCCGGTGTCTGTATCAATGTTTAATCAATTTGATGCCAAAACCCTCATATTGAGTAAGCATTCATAATCAAGGTAATACAATATAAACATGGAAACAAGTCTTGAAAGTGCTGATATTTGTACTATTTTTTAGCTTCCCACTCCTTTATAAGCATTGAACTTCTATAATGATAAAGTGAAAGAAAGGTCCAATTATCTCTCAATAATTACATATTTACAAGTATTATAGCAATTTACAATAAAAGGAAAATGATTATTATGTCAACCTTGTGACAGTGAAATGCATGTTCTTGTCAGTTTGACTGAAAGAAATGCTTATGTCCATGTTAATATTCCATCACGTGTGATGTGTGGAGTTTTTAGTAATAATAGTGAGCATCTAAATTTGAGAAAGCATAGGCTTGTGAATTCATCATGAATACTGAGACATTTATCAGTGGTACACTCGAAACAAGCTTGACATGTTTCCGTTTGCATTAGAATTTTTCTCCTTAATTTTATTAAAACAATGCTATTTAGAAAGGTGATGGTAAATCATTATATATGCAGTATGTAGTTGGTATTGTTCAAGAGGCTTGCTGTTAGTGGTGTTTTACATTGAGCATTGAGGGTATATGTTGCATTTTCCTTATGTGGTTTATGGTGTGTTAGAAAAATGTGATATGTTAAAAGAAAGTATATCTGTGTGATACACTCCTGCCTTATTCAAATTGATGGCTCAATTTCATTGGGTTAAATAGGAAATGATATATATATAGGACTAATAAAAGCTTTGAAATATGAAACAAATTGTATATCAAAATTTACATTAAAACATTAAGTCAATGTCAACTCTTCTTGATTGTATATACACAGCGTTACTACATTTATGTTGGCCTTGCTATTGTGGCTTAAATTTTAAAAGGCAACTTTTAATATGTTCTAATATGCTTCATCCTTGGATTAGGTGCACAGTGCATGGCTTCCACCCTGGCTTGCAGTTCACTTGATACACTACCAGGTACATTTTGAGAAGGTTAATGCCGATTTGTGTGTGGATCTTTGACTAAATTATCAACTTGTAGGCAATTTTGGAGAAGCACTGGGAGGAACATGTAAAACCTGCTATGGATGTAGTGCTTCAAAAGGTACCTTCATATTGCATTGGATGTCCTTGTAAGGGATGGAAATATGATATGGTTGATTTTGAAGCTTTGTAAATGTGACCAGTTCATCCTTCTTGGGCTCTTTTCAGGCCATTGTGAGAAAGGCTCAGGCTGAAGCATGGGCTGCGCCACACATGGAAAAAATCAGAACTGTAAGCCAGCTTACATAATTAATATCTATGTACTTCTGTTTTACAAGATGTTTCATTCAATTGACTTCTAACAAGAAAATATGTTAAAACTTTTGACATGTAGAGGAAGGTAGTGCTTTGGCTATCAACTATTTTGAATTCAAATGGAATGAGCAAAGAATAGTTGATAATTATTTTAGGGCCTGTTTAGTTACAGTTTTTCACTACCATTTTCCATTTTTAGCTTTCCAAATTCCAAGTTTTCATTTTCCATTGGAAAACTAGACAACATGTTCAAAATTTAATGATTTTCCAAATTATAAAATAGAAAGTTATTTGTAGTCAAATTCATATAAAGATACAAATGCCTATATCAAATGATGATAATATTTAAGGGTGGGGGTGGGTTGAAGGGTAGATAGGTGTAGGTTATGGTAAATAGATAGTGGTGGGTAAAGTAGCTGGTGATGGTTATGAATTTAGTTGTGTTGGTAGTGGCTTGGTCAGGTGCATATAAGATATAACTGGGGGTGTGTTACATAGGTAGGTCATAGTTGGGTTGGTATGCAGGTAGTCGAGGGTAAAAAGAAGTGAATTAAAACGGAGGTGATAGTGGTGATGGTCAGGCTAGGTAGGTGGTAGCATTAGAAAGGGGTAGGGGTGGCGAGTGGGTGAAGGTAGGAGTAGATATATAGGTGAGATGAAGTTTGTAGGCAATAATAATGTTAATTATAGTAATGTATGTTCTCGTATTTGGAGAATTTTTGAAAATGTGAAAAAAAAAATGCTTTTGGATTTGTTATTGTTTTGTTAAGTTGAAAAATTGTGTATTCCAATTTCCATGTTCTAATTTGGAAAATAGTTGATTTTGAATAGAATTGTCTTCCACTTTCTATTTCCTATTTTCTAGAAAGTTGAAAAATCCTCCAGTTACTAAAAAGGACATTAATGTCTAATTAATTTTGCATCCACTTCATGATATTTAGTCTACTTAAATTCTTAATCTCCTTTTTTGTGGTGAATGGATTTTTGTTTTTTTTTTTTTAACTTGCTGTTGCTGTCTTTGCCTGCTTTGTGAAGAAATGGGTTCCAACTGTGAAAGAACAATGGCTTATAGCTACCACCAATGTTGAACCACATCTTCACTCTCTAAAGACAAAAACTATTGAAATTTATGCATCGTCTAAGGATGCTGTAACACCACATGTACTCAAGGTTCAGGAAATTGCAGATCCTTATTTTCAGGTGATATATTTGTGCTCAAATCTAAATAAATTGTGTATATGTTATTCTTATGTATGTCAATGCTGCCAGCAAATTAGGAAATTCAGCAAGCCATACATTGACCAGATAGCCACTACCACAAGACCTCATGTAGAAAAAGTACGTGTGGTCATAAAGCCTTATACAAAGAAGGCAGTTCATGCTTATGGAAAATTCCTAGAATCTGCAACTACATACCATCATCAGGTATATAAAGCACCTTTCTTTTGGATTTCAATAGTAAATAGAGGAGAGTGGTAGTTTACAAGACATGCTATTTGTAATGAAATCTAAGGTATCAAAATACCTGTGTGATATCCTGAATATTTAGATCACATATATATGCAGCAGAAACTGTTAGAGAAAAGAACCAGGAGGTATTTTTATTGACTAGAAAATAAAGAAAAGAAACAGGAAGTCACAAGACTTTCCCCAACAAGAGTTTTAGGCTCTTGCCCCACAAGAGTTTTAGGCTCTTGCCTAGCTACTAAAGCTTAAAGACTAAGGAAGATTATTGGATGATTTACTCTCATCTAGAGATTCTAATTTATAGTGCTAGGAAATAAATAATTATAGAAAGGAGATGATTGTTGAGATGATTATGCTTCTATTTATTTTAGTCAAATCCCTTGAGTTAAGCCTTCCTTGTATATTCTGATTTGCCTGATTTGCATCCTTCCTTTTTTTTCTGAGTAAACCATCTCTTATTTTGGGTGCGTATCATTGCCACCCACCAAAAAAACAGCCTTGTCCCCAAGGCTAGATTGGAAATACTGCCCTATATTGTCCGGTGTCGATTTGGTCAGTTACACCAGGCTCGTCGCTCGTTTCGTCCTCGTCATCCTCTGCTGCAATTAGAGTTTGCAAGGATTTATTCGGGCATACATGAAGCGGACTGTACGGTTGCTGACAACGGAAACAAAGTCCTTTGGCGCGCATGTCCAGATACTCTTTGTTAGAATAATGTCGTGCCGGAGCTCGTGATGTTGATGTGCTGGAATTGCGTACTGAAGACTGCATAGCAGGAAACGCAGGTTGTGTTTGGGAGGAGAAGGAAGATGTTTGATTGCTGCCAGAGAATTGAGACTGGGTTGGAATGGGTTTGGGCTGTGAATAATTCGAAAAAGAATTGGTTTGGTAATTCTTCCCATGCCCATTAGACCAAGTAGACCCACTATGTGAAGGACTTATCTGGAGCGCTGCATTTTCTTCTTGCAGATTGCGTCCAAGGAGCCGGCCTGTGGAGAGAAATTCAATTTCTCGTTCTGCCGCGCGAGCGACACGCATCGCTGTTCGGAGATCTGTCACATCATTCGGTCGGAGCCGCACCCGAATTGCAGGTTTCAAGCCATTGAGAAAAAGCCCTAATTGAATGTGAGGAGCAAGTCCAGGAATTTGGGCAATGCGAGCTCGAAACGCAGCGATGAATTCATCCACCAAGCCCGTTTGACGAAGAGCGGCAAGCTGTTCAAACGGTGGCCCAGGCAATTCGTCGCCAAATTCTTCCAAAAGGTCATGTGTGAATTGAGTCCAAGTAAGAGTGGGTTGTTGTTGTTGTAGCCATCGGAGCCAATGTAGAGCTGCCCCCTCCATACTAACGAAAGCTGTTGGGACCTTCAAATCCTCTCGGGTGTGATGAATGGCAAAGTACTGCTCCACTCTAGCTAACCACCCAATTGGATCGGTGCCTTCAAATGTAGGGAGTTCTGTTTTTCCAATGGGCAGCGAGGTGTTGTCCGGCTGAACATGTTCTGGGAGAGAGGTTGAATTCGGCGTTGGGATGGAAGTTGATGAAGCACTGGCATTGTTGTGCCCTCCGCCTTGGAAGGAGAGAGCGAGGAGATCAGACATCCTATCCACAGAAGCTTCCAAAGCTGCAAATCGATCGTTCAATGTGGTCAATTTAGTACGGATTGCATCTTGGTTCTTCTCTAACGTCTCTATGCGGGAATCTCGTGTGTTCGCCATCCAACGGCAGGTCGGACCAATTTGTTAGAGAAAAGAACCAGGAGGTATTTTTATTGACTAGAAAATAAAGAAAAGAAACAGGAAGTCACAAGACTTTCCCCAACAAGAGTTTTAGGCTCTTGCCCCACAAGAGTTTTAGGCTCTTGCCTAGCTACTAAAGCTTAAAGACTAAGGAAGATTATTGGATGATTTACTCTCATCTAGAGATTCTAATTTATAGTGCTAGGAAATAAATAATTATAGAAAGGAGATGATTGTTGAGATGATTATGCCTCTATTTATTTTAGTCAAATCCCTTGAGTTAAGCCTTCCTTGTATATTCTGATTTGCCTGATTTGCATCCTTCCTTTTTTTTCTGAGTAAACCATCTCTTATTTTGGGTGCGTATCAGAAACAAAATGCACAATTTGCTGCTTTAGTTACTATTTTGTTTGCACACACAGTCCTACTATGGTGATCATAATTTCCCCTTGAAAGTGGTCTTCCCTGTTTTTTCTACTTACTCTAGGTGTTCTTGTCATAATATTTTAACTCTTCCCGTCAGATGTCCATTTTGTGATAGACAAAGCTTTGCAGTGGTTTATTATGTTTTAGTTCAGGTTTTAGATATTCTGAATCATGGAAGCAGCTGATTAGCATGCTTTTTATTATGATTTTAGTTTGAATTATTGTAACTGCTGGACATGTTTAGTCTCTGTTTCCTTAAATAATTAAGTATACGTTAGTTATTGAATTTGTTTGTCCCCAGAAGCCTCTATAATAATTCTTGTTTTTTTTTTTTTTTTTGGTAAAGCTCTAATAGGTTTGACATTATGTTATTATAGTTCCTAGTTTGGTTCTGAGTCATTCTGGTCCCAGATGTCAAGTTAGTATCTTTCGAAGACAATAAGTTGTTCATTGAGAATTTTATGAAGACCTTTTTGTGTCTACTTTAATTTTCTGGATAAGGAGATATCAGTTGATGAAAGATTTTCTTGGCAGATTCTAAAGTAGATGATATTTTGGCTGCCTTTATCTTTTGTTGATGATTGTATCTGTGGCAATATTGTTTCCATTGATATCATTTTGGGAGGTGCTCCCTTGGTGTGATTAACCGAGTAATTTCTTTACTTATTGAGTTAGTAAGTCTCTTAAATTTGAGTTTTTTCATTTGTCCTGGTGTTAACTTATACCAACTCTTGGAGTCTATAAATATACTTTTATACTTTGCTAATATTAAATCATGAATTGAGTTGAAGTTTTGTTGCTTCTTTGCTACCATTTTATAAGCCTTCTTTTGCAGATTGTTCTAAAAAATTTCTAGATGGGATTCCCCGATTATTTCCTTCTCCTATATTTTAGTGCTACACTATTATATTGTTTAAGAATTGTGAGCAAGAAGAAACAATCTTAAAGTATAAACAAGAAACACATTCTTCAACCTAGGCCTACACAACTAATTTCTGCCACAAGGGCTTTCATGTTCCCTACTGCCACAGCCATGAAACAAGTCTGATCACCCCAAATAACTTCAGAATCTTTATCTGCTGACCACAATGTCAACTAAGTTGATTCAACTGACAAAACTTTAGGGAAATGTCTGTGTTTTTATAAGTAATCCTTGATGCCCTTGCATGCGAAATGTGAACTTCGTAAATTTTTCTTTTTCTTTTTATAAGTTAAATGCTACATAAGATAAGCTTGTTGTTTTGAATTCTGACTGGTGTCCAAATGCATGTCAGTTCTGTGGCTGGGTATGGTATATTGTATAGTTAATGTGGATAGTGAAGATTTGCCCATCATATGTTCTTGTTATTGTGTCTATAGGGTGTGTCTGAACGCTCTGTTTGGTATGACCTAAAATGGGAAAATTTAGTAAAAAAAATTTCCAAGGTTTTTTTGTTTCCCTCGAATAGGTTTAGGCGACTTACCCTCATTACCTAGTAATAGCAAAGCTGTAAAACTCAAAATCGCTCTCTGAATGAAGCTTCCTGGAAATAGTAGTTGGCCTAGTGGAGGAAGGTAGAAGAAGTATTTCGAATGAAGTAAAATTAGACTTCTGAAGTATAATTTGCTGTTATATGTGCAATATTTTGTTAATTCTTTGTCTTATGAAGCTTCAAGGCACTGTCCAAGAAACACTGAAGAAACATGAGCTTACAAGGCCTCTTGCAACAAAGGAGCTTATCTGGTTTGCTGTATGTATCTGTTTGCTGACTATCATAGATTAGCTCTCATTTTTGCTTGTGTACTTCAATGCCACTCATTTTGTATCTACAGCTATTGTATTTAATATACTTCAAATCATTTGGTTTTATGTTGTAGGCCTCTGCTTTACTGGCTTTGCCAATCATAATTCTATTTAAAGTTTTCTCCGCCATTTTCCGGTTAGTTTTTCATTGTTATGGAAAACCTAGAGGAAATAGAAATGAGTACAAGTTTCTGTATTTGTTGCATTTGTCATTCTATTTAGGCTAAAGGTTTTGTTTTGCTATTTCAAATAACATATTTCAGTACGAAGGCCAAGCCATCCAACAGAAGTAGTAGCTCACACCATTCACGTCGTAGGGCAAAGCGCGGACATCCAGAGAAATAGTTGTGAAGCTTGAAACTTTTAGGAACATGATGGCTGTTTAAAAGTCACAGGTACGAGTTTTAGAGTTGTATTACACTTCCTCCCTTTACTTCATTATTTATTCCTGTTGACATGAAGCAATTGACCCAGAAAAAGGGACCACGGTTTTTCTTTTCTTTTTCTTCCTCCAATAAATTTAGGAAATACGAGGTAGTGATACCCTTTGGAGTTCACTTAGCATTTTCCCAAGTTTTATCGTAATACTTTAATAATACGGAAAAGGTAATACATTACTGATGGAAGTCATGGAACCATATCTTACTGAGTATACTTAACATCTCTCTACCCACTATTGGGGATTATAGTTATATTTGCAATGTGAAATGTCTAAAACATCACTTAAGTGGCTAAATGTGGGAAATTATGTCTTGTCAGTTTTATATAATAGAAAGATAGAATATAATAGTAAAGTACCATTTACTAAAGTGGTGACTTCCCAATGTTAGAAAATCAACAAACATAAAGGGATGGAGTGAGTAATAAAAATCATTCAGGTCTCACTTGAACTCCTTGGACTGCACAACTCTTGATGCCATCCATCTTGGTACCATACACTGTGCCAATCAAAATGGGCAAGTTTTGTAATGGGATTGCAAACATGGGAGAGACAAACACACTTCTAATTGATTAAAATATTAGGGGTGATAAAGGGTTGAGTTTGGATGAGGGTGTCCTACATCCACTATCCAACCCATACCTGCCCCCCAACCCATCACAGGTGGAGTTTTTAGCATCCAGCCTTGACTATTGGTATGTGCTTTAATGCTGCTGATTATTCATTCTTTCATTAATGAATTAATTAAAAATTATATATCATATGTTAAAATTCAATAAAAAAATGTACATATAAATTAATAAATTCTAATATTTTAAAAATTCAACCAAGTAATTATATTGAAATAGCAATTATTTATAAGATTTTCACTTCCAAGACTTCAATATATTTGGTAAGGTAGGATGTAAGTGAAATCTTAAAACCGCACCTACACTCAACCTACCATCCCTAGGTTAGATGTTATATGATATTGAGCAAATTAAAATGGCACAGCTCAGAGTAATAATATTACTTACCAAATAAATATGCCATTAGCTAAATTCCAATCTCTATTCTTTAGTATACTGATTCTTTATAGCTACTTTTCCTGGTGATATATTTCAGATGCTCGTTTTGCCATTTATGTATGAAGTGGTTGATAATAACTTAATAAGGGGAAATGTAAATAAAATGCCATTGTGTTCTCAATATATGCTTTGGAAAACTAATGGTTTTCCGCATTGGAGAAATTGATTGCTTTGGTCTTGCTTTTAGTCTATTCAATATCTTTATTGAGAGGGGATATTGTGTGAGTAGACATTAGATGAGTGCCTGGCAGCTTCACTATATTTCCATCCAATTTCTTTCAGGTTGCTTTGCTTTTACTATACTTCAGTTTTTCAAAATATCCATGCAATAATTTTGAGGGATTGACACGATTATTATTCAGAACTGGATTTTTATCAACCATTTTGTTCTGATAGCGGGATTTAGCGTAGATTATACCTAGAAGTAAATTTCTTTTCTTTGAAACTCATGCCCGAGTTTAAGTTAGGCAGTCGAGGCTTGATCATTACTTAGTTTTGATTTTAGAGTAAATGATTCCTAAATTTCTTTATGATGCTGACTGCTGATTGGATTGTGGAAGTAAATAGTATGATTGGATTCGCGCAAATGGGTGACTGAAAAGAAAATGTTGATAATATATTAGTGTAAAAAATCATTCTCGTGATTCTAGGTGCTTTTATTTTGAACACCATCCCCAGAGATCATGGATCTGTCTGAGCAAGTGGAAATGGTTTGAGAAAGAAATGAGGGAATGGGGTAGTTATAGAGAAACTTTGTGATGTTTTCTATTTTATAATTTATCAATAATGTCCCCATCCTCTTGAGTTTGTTTAGAGTCTATGTTTGGTGATCTTGTCTAGCAATATTCTTGTGGTACTAGACTGTATGCATTGTGCATGGCCTCAAAAATGAGGAATGGAAAATATCATACATATTTCTTTATCTGCTTGAATATTGCTAATTAATTAATTTTTTTATTTTTATTTTTATTTTTATTTGTTTTGTTTTGTTTTGTTGCAGATAGGTTACGCAAATACCATGGTCTGTGGAGCCCCTAGTAATTCTTTTGTTGTTCTGAGGTGTTTTGATTGTGTCAACTCATTGGTGTGTATAATTCCTGGATAGTATCACATGGCGGATGGTTTTGGAGAATTATGTATCATCACATCATATTTTACTTTCTTTCTCTGGGTAGTTTGAGCCACAGACGGGGATGTTCATATTCAGAGTAATGTGGTATGTATTATTGTTGACCACGGGGCATGTAGAAATGAGCATGGTAGTTATTGCTATGAATTATTCGTTTTGGTTTTTTGTTTTTTTTTTTTTTTTTAATATGAAAGTGAAAAGCAGTTTTTTGCTCCATTACCTTTAAAGAGCGCTATTTTTTTTTTTTTATGTCTACGAGTTTCAACACAATTGTAATCTTCTCATTCCGACGTTAGTGTTGCCCAATCATTATGCTGTGCAATCACGGTTGCGAACAATACTGTTTCACTATAGTGGAGTAACGACCGTTTTACTATAGTGGAGTAACGGAGCGTTAGTGGCACCGTTTAACTCCATTAATCAATTTTTCTTTTTTTTTTTTACTCCAATTGACGTGATTTCTATCATTTTTGGTGTGAATATATAGTTCACTAATTCTGGGTATATAGTTCATTAATTCTAGATATATAGTTTATTAATTTTGGATATATAGTTTACTAATTCTGAATTTATAATTCATTAATTCTGGGTATATAGTTCATTAATTCTGGGTATATAGTTCATTAATTTTGGATATATAGTTCACTAATTTTGAATTTATAGTTCTTTCATTTTGAATATATAGTTCATTCATTTTAAATACACAGACGCAGCGAACTACCATAAGCCAAAATAGAATACCAGTAATCGGTGTGGGTGTGGATATATAATTCACTAATTTTAGATATATAGTTTATTAATTCTAAATATATAGTTTATTAATTCTGGATATATAGTTCAAATTATGCACAACATAACGCTATTAACGACAATCGAAAATATTTTTTTTTTTTAAGTCATACGTCAAAACAACGCCATTTTTACAACCGTGTGCACCATGCATGGTACACACGGTTGTACGGCATAATTTACCAGTTTTGCCAGCCAAAAGCGTTATCCAACATGTAACATTTTAATCCTATCTAAAAATGTAATCATAAACACAAGAGTAAAAGACATTTTTAGTCCTAGACTTTTAGTGACACGGACAATTTTAGTCCTCTATAAAAAATTTTGCCATTTTTTAGACATACTTATCCTGACGAGGACAATTTTAATCCTCCGTTTAAATTCCCGTTTGTTGACCGTTCGAGAGGGGGTAATTGTGTCAATTCATCCTACCTCCTTTTGACGCCATGACTGAGGCCATACAATGCAGTAACGCAACTCTCTCTAGTGGAGTCTAAGTCAAGATCCTCTGTTTTTAGCATTCTGACAAAGCACTCCACGGCACTGCTGTCGAGCATGGTTGCACGGCCTTCCGGGCTGGCTGCGAGATTGCAGAGAACTAGGAGAATGGGACATGTCATGTGACCGGACTTCACAACGGCAAGTAGGGCTTGAACGGAGCTGAGTTTCATCGTTCGAATTCTGAACGTAGAGAGTGGTGAAGCGGATGGAGAGCTCCGAGAGCGCCTATTGCAGTTTTGTTCTGATCGTCTAAGGCTAGGCTGAAGAGCGCGCTGGTGGCGTGGTGCTGCGATTCCGGGGAATCGATCAACGGCGAAACGATTCTAGAACACACTAATTTCACTTTGTTCCGGTTTTCTAACGACAGATTCACCAACGCCGCCGCGGCGTTCACCTAGATGGAGGACGTGTTCTTCTTCTCAACATTTCTGGTCAAGAAGAGGAACCCATGCCGTTTTCGATTCGACCTCCCAAGTGATTTGTTTCCGTGGTCTCGGAGCCGCCTAATCGAAGATTGTGAGGCCTTCGGCCTGGTGTACACCGTCTACGCCACCGCCGTGGACCCAAAGAGTAGATGTGCTAAAAAGTAATAAAGATGGATCAGAGGTTTGAGGTCGTCGACCTTCAATGGAGTCCATGCATTTGACCGGGAAGCGATACAAAGCTCACGTTGGAGAACTGCGAAACCTTCCAAGCGATCGGGGACCAGGAAACCAACCGTTGGAGAGATCGCTAAATGCCTGGAAATTTGGCCGGTGGCAGGAGCTTCCTCCACTAATTTCTATTTTCTTTTTGTTTCTAAAAATCAACTCTCTTGGTTTCTGCGTTCCACCGCTATCTCCACCAATCAGCTGCCAACCAGAATGCATGCACCATTTAACTACTATTTTCCTTGCTTTTCCATCCTCCAAATGCATTTTTCAGTAACTGAGAAATATGCCACCACCCACATCCATCAACAGGAAGGTTCTTCCAGAATCTCCCTTGACTATTTTGGAGTTTGCTCTTGTTAAGACGTGGGTGACAAATGGGTCACCATCGACGACGCTACTAAGCGGCGGCTTGGGATGGACAGGTAGCCGGCACGGCGGAGCGGCGAGTGAGTGTTGGATCCTCTACAGCAATGGAAGGCGGAGCTTACATAGTGTTGGATTTTTTGACTTGTATATACACACATGGTTTAAGTCTGCAATGGTCCAAGTCGTGGTCTGGGCGCTTTCATCACCGGCAGTAATGGGCTGGACATGGACCCATCACATTGAATGACAAAAATGCCCTTCATTTAGAGGACCATCTAACAGAAATATAGACGGAGGACCAAAATTGTCCTTATCAGGATAAGTCCGTGCAAAAAATGACAAATTTTTTTATGGAGGACTAAAATTGTCCAAGCCACTATAAGTCTAGGACCAAAAATGTCTTTTACTCTAAACACAAACAATGTTTTGCTGAATGCTAATGGAATGCTAAATGGTAATAAAATATACACTCATTACAACATAATGAAGTTCATTATGCTAAAGTTTCATTGTATCTGTATGCATATGACACTTTACTTAAAAGTTTGAAGTTTTTATCATTATGCTTAAGCTTTGAATACATTTTAGGGCAGGATTTATCAAATCCGTTGACCTAGTCGGGCTTGCTGCTGGCCAATAGTAGCCGAGTCCCTTCTGGGCTCCGGGTGGGGCGGGTCATATATGATGGGGGTTGCCTTGTTGTTCGTGTCTGCCTGTTATTTCCTTATACACTGCCTATTGAAACATGATTATGAGCTGTATTGGTTTAGGAAATGTGGCGTTGCTTGTTCTGTCACGTTTTCATTTTGCAGGTCTTTCCTTGGCTTCTGAGGTATTGCTGGTCTTAAGCTTGTTTGGTTTTGCCCTTGTGGGTTTCTTTAAATAGACCACACCTCAACGTTGGTGCAAGCGGTAAGAAATTGCATCCTAGACTGGGCTGAACGGTGGCCGGGTAGGGGTTTATCAAATCAGTTGGCGGTTTGTCCAGGCTTGCTGCTGGCCCATAGTAGCTAATCCCGTTAGGGTTCTGGTTACTACAATATTGGTGTTGCTTGGGTGGACGAATGATATTGGCTGGCCTATATGTGGCCTGTGTGCTTTATTTGGTGGCCGGCGTGCCATTTATTAGTTTTTTGGGCCTGCATGCCTCCTTTGTGGTTTGTTTGCCTTGTGCTGATAGTTGGACAGCTGTTGTTGTGTATTTCTGCCCTTGTGAGATAGTCCTGCAGCAGTCGTTATGTTGCCGAATATCTTACAAAATGGGCTAGCATTCTTGGAGGTTTTGGCCAGCCAATAGATTTAGTTTGAAAAGACGTGGGCGTGAAGCGTTGCGGCCGTGTTGGCACTGTTGCATCGTTGCATTGTGGTGCAGAGTCGCGGCATTGCAACTTTGTGGTGGTGCGGCATGGTGGTGCAGTAGTACATGATGGCACGCAAGTGCAGCTATTCTCCTAGAAACAGCCGTTATGCTGCTGGTTTTTGCGAAAATTGGTGCGACGCCGATAGGGGGATTCTGCGCCTCCATTTCAGCACCCTTTTATTTATTTATTTTTCTTCATTTATTACCTTTGATCTGGCCTATTAGTTGGACTTGGGTCCATTATTTTATTCTTTCATTCTTTAGGCCTGGCCTATTAGGGCTTGGGTCCATCCTTTATTTTAGTTTCTTTATATTAATATAAGCCCAATCTCAAGGGTTGAGTATGTGTTATGGTCACTTTTAGACCATCAGTTGTAAGATTTTTTAATTCCTTTGCTTACTAAAGTTTTGTTTAAAAATAAAAAAAATATAACATGATTGGCTGGCCTGAACGCCGGCACGCCCAAGGTAATCTCCGGTGGTCGAATTGCCCTGCCTGAGCATCTGGAATTGCGACAGCAGATTTAGGCATCTCGCCTGGCTTGAGGATCATAGCGCGCCGGTAATGGATGACCATATCTCGGCCGATGTGTTCCTCCCGAGTGCAAGATGTAGCGTCTCATCCGCCATAGACGAGACCAGTAGGGAGATGATGGTCTGGTCCTGCTTCACCCAGGCTTTGAAAGCCGGATTCGGAGTGTCGGACTGCACGGCCGCGCTTGACGAGGCGTCGTCGTTCGCCGGTGTACCGGCGATCAACTCCGGTGGGCAGGGAAGGCTTCCATCAACGAAGCCAAAAAGCTCCTGGCCACGGAGGAAGGAGACGATCTGCATACGCCAAAAGAGATAGTTCTTCAGCGTGAGCTTCATCGTGACGTAATGGTGAGCGCCGGCGAGTGAACCACCGGCTGCCGGAGCTACACCATCGGAAGCCGTACGATCGGAACCGGCGGACGACATGGCTGATTTTGAGTGCGGGAAAGGAGGGGGAATATTTGCGGTGGAGGCTTGAGAGAGATCGAAAAACCTAGTCTGATACCAGATTGGAAAAGGTTTTCGTTAATTGATTCGTGACATCAGGATTACAGAGTATATCTAACTCTAACTAATCCTAACAAATAGATATACTAAGTCAAGCTATCTAAGCCACACAATATAAAACTATACAAAGGAAATAATAATAATAATAATAATAATAATAATAATAACACCTTATACTAACAAAATGAAACTGTAGTACTATGTACTATTGAAGTGATACTTTAGTGATGCTATAATTAACTTACCGTCTCTATAAAATGAAACTAAATGATCTGATATTCAATAAATATTTTCTAATTATTCAACACTGATTTTTTAGTGTTGCATGATCTTCTTCTTCTTCTTCTTTTTTTGTCAATAATATACTTGTAGAAAAAGTGTCAAAAATGAGGTGGAAGACACAATCACATAAAACAAATGCAATATTAGACTCACAGGCGGGAATATACATGCCACC